AACTCAACAGTTCCCGTTTTTTTTTTTTTTTTTTTAATATATATATACTTTTTTTTTTTCTAAGTGTGGCCCATTCAGCTGCTGCCCTAAAAAATGAAGAAGATCATTGCAAATTAAATCAAAGAGAGGAGGGGGAAGTAGGGAAGGAGGGGTAACTTGGGAGGGAGGGAAAGGACCTAAAAAATGAAACAAATTAAAAACAAGCCTGTTCTTTTGCGCCCGATCCTGCTCCTGTTGAAAGTGAATGGGTGCTGTCTTCTCCCCTTCAATTGGGACAGGATGGGGCTTCTGGTTGGGTGTTTTGGTTTTTTCAAGATATTGGCTCTGATTCTGCTCCCACTCATGTCAACAGGAAGATTCCCCTTGACTTCAGTGAGAACTGGATCAAACCCAAAGTGAGCAAGGTAGTCACGATCATGATAAGAGAAAAAAATGCAGTTGTTCCTAGCAATTGGAACAATAAAAATCAAATTAGTAGTGATGTATGTCTATATAGATGCATATCACTATGTATGGATGGATGGCTACATTTTAAATTATTTTTAGGTGCAACTTTACAATGCCAGATCACAGTCTTTCTTGGTGGTTTTTTGTGGTGTGAAAGGCATTGAGAAAGTATTATTCTACATTTTAATGGGGTATCATCTATGACAGTGTATGAGCTTTCTGTGGAGACATTGCTGCCAATAACATCTACTCCTTTGTGAATGTCAAGAAATAAGACTTTGAACAGGCAATTTATAGGAAGTTAAACAAAACTGTTGGAATAAACTTTTTTTGCAAAAAAAAAAGAGTAAAGCTAGCATTTCTTAAATAAAAAAGTTATTTAAAAAAGTGTAATCATGATCCGACTAGGCTTGACATTTAAGTAGGATGCTTAATCATTAAGGATTAGCTCTTATCTCTTTCTAGCAAGCAGGTTCTTCTTATACACTCGGTGATTTATTACATCAAGAAACTTAGAAACTGCAAAAGGTCCACTCTGGTGGAAAAGTGTCATGCGGAATATCAATCCATGCTGGCAGGTTTTCACACTGTTGGTTCAACAAACAGCAAACCGTACACAGCAGTCTAAACAATTACAACACCAAAAATAATAATAGAATAAAAAAAAAAACACTCGTCAAGGACCCTTTTTCAGTTGTAAACAAAAAGATGCATTTTGCTTTTTGATCTGGATAGAATTTTTTTCCCACTCAAAACAATCCCACCCTCCCCTTGAGCAATTAATTTTGGCTGGAGTAGCTGTAATACAGAAACTTAGAATTAGGAATTCTTGAAAAGGCATACAATGAGGCTTTTCTTGGGGTTGCTTTTTTGGATTGCTATAATATAGTTTTCAAACTACTGTTACTATCATTACTATTTTTTTTTTAATTTTTGGAGAGTGATTTGAAATATCCTAAGGGGGAAAAAAAAGTGTCAATTGAAAAAGGCCCCAAATTCTCCAGAAAAAAAAATAAAATCACAAGATTTTCAGTGCAAAAAAATTAACCACACATTTTTTTTTCTCTCTTTTTTTTTTCCAAATTATCTGTACAGTTATAACAATCCCATTTTTTTCTAAGGAATTAGGAATCCATCTTTTTTTTTTCCTTCTATGTGACATCTAAAGAAGCATAAAACGCTGACGAGAAATCAAACGACAAATAAAGAAACCACTGCAAGCACCAAAAACGAAACGAAAATGAGCACAGCAAAAAATTGTGGCAGCACAAAGTCAAAAAAGGCACATGTGATCATGACTGGCCAATCATAAACTGATACAACATCCAAGAAAAATGCTTCAATCACAGCACCTGCACGAAACTTGACGGCATGTCATGCAACCAATTCTTAGCTTGTTACATGACGCCATCATGTCACACTTTCAACTTCGAGTTGATTTGAACTTACGGCCTGGGGGACTGTATTCTCCACTTTTGTGTCATTACATGAACTTTTTTCCTAGCTCAGTGCGAGACTGTGGTGGATTTGACTGGTTCTTGGTTGGTTTTGTTGGAATTTGATTGAATGACAAAAGAAGAAAATATATATATCTATATATATATTTATATATAGCGTGGAAAAAGGGAAAGGTGGGGAAAGAACATATATATATAAATAATAAAAAAGTTACAAACACAGCATCAGTCAAAAAGCTCTAATGAGTATACTTGCCATTAAACTATAGAAAATGAAACAAGAAGCAAAACAACCAAATCAAACAGAAAGAAAAGAAAGAAAGGAAGGAGGAAAAGAAAGAAAGCAAAAGCAAAAGAAAAAGGCAAAGAAAAAGAAAAAAAAAAGGATGGAGAAGGCCTAGCCAGAGACACACACGTAAAACACACACTTAAATGTAGACACATGGTCAACAGTGAACAGTAACGGAACATTATGCAGCAGCTGTTGAAGAGAGCATGCACTGAATGAATGAGAGCAGACACAGATCGGTTTGCAAAGTTTGTAAAATAAATACATTTGCTGCCAACTGGGATGCTTTCATTAGCACCAGCCTCTCCCTCATTCCCCGAGCCTCCTAGGCTTTACCGGCCAAGGTCCTCCAGGAGCCTTTCCATGGTCTTGGAGGGACTCTAGAGCAGCGACTGCTCTGATTTGATGACATCAGTCATGGGGAAGTAATGGGGAGTAATAGACCAAGAGCTGCTCTGCTTCGGCTATTGAAAATTAAAAAAAAAAAAAAAAAAAAAAAAAAAAAAAAAACACCGGTGGGTTGTTTTTTTTCATTTCGGGGCCAATGCTGGTATGGCATGGGAAGCAGACTTGTCTTGTAGGAAGGATGATACTATGGTCCCTAAATCAGCACCAGTAAAAGAAAGTATCTTTGGCATTTGGCTCTGACCTGAATTATAAAAATGGAAGAGAAGAGAGAAGAGAGAAAAGAGAAGAAGAAAGAGGAAAGATAAGGGAAGGGAAGAGAGAAAGAAAAGAAAAGAAAAGAGGACTGCCAGGATCTGGTTGCTACAGTCTTCAAAACATGCTCTTCCTTTCCTATCAAGGAGAATGTCCCTTTACGAGCCCGAGGAGTTTTGCCTCAATAAACACCAAAAATCACTACACACAGTGATACACTTGTCTCAGTGAGTGGTTATGCACCCTGTTCATCAGGTATTGGCTTTCTATCCCCTTGGCAGGGCTCATATCTCTCCTGTCTGCCTAGCTCTGAAAAGTCACTGCACACGACTGAAATTTCACCTTGCATTTAGGTGTCACAAGAATGTAGCTGGCAGTTCTCATCCTCAAGTCATGCATGCTGGCTAGAGAAAATTCTTTCTTCGGATTTTTTTTGACTGTTTCTATATTTTCCACGCTGAAATATGCATTCTGGCTAGGGACGTTATGCTCAACTGATGAGAGATGATGCTGAACTAAGGCCCTGAACTCAGCACTGGAATCAGCTCCAGACTTTGCCCACAGTTGGCTGCTCTTATCTTGGTTAGACCTGGCTCCTCTTCAATGGCCTCAGTCCAAAGTCCTGCCCTTTGATTATTTTGAAATGTCACCCTGAACTTCCTAGGGTTTGGATGAAGGGAGCAGACTGGTATCCCCACAGCAGATGCATGATTTGGCTCTACAGTTATTTCTCAAGCCTAAAAGGTTGGAAAATTGACTTCATGAAGACAATGCGAGGTAGACCTGTTGTCACTTGCCTCCCTGGATACCCAAGGACGAGCAGTGTGAGCCATACAGACCCACAGTGTGGGAAGATGAAAAGGATCCCTCTTATCCCATAAGGCTTTCTGCGTGTATTGGAGCCACAAAAAGAAGAGCAGGTTGGCATGGACTAGCAGCAGTGTCACACTAAGTCTTAGCTCTTTCCTTATCTCAAATGTGCTGGCCAGGGCAGCAGGATGGATTAGGCTTGGCTTAGCAAAGGGCTAAAACACTTTCCTTCCCTGAATGTCACAAGGAGAGGCTTCTGGGGAACAAATGAAACCCTGCTCCATCCCTAGAAAGTGACAGCAACGTTCATCTCCTGTTGGGCTGGAGCACAGGGCGGCACGGCCCCAGTGCTAGGGGCTGGCTGTGGTGGTGTGTGTCTGTGGTGAGGTGGCATGGAGCTGCTGCTGAGAGCTAAGTGCTGTGTCACTAGCTGCCCAACTGCACCTGGGTGCCTGCTCATGCCAGGTAGGCATCCAAAATGCTCAGCATGGTGCACATTTTGTATATGCGGTACTGAGTATAGGCACTGGCATAGCCTATATACCCTAACTCAGGGCAACTCCAAAGCTGAGGAGAGGCTCCTGAACATAAAACTTCTCCGAGGAAATCATTTTCTTTTATGGTTGGAACAGGAAACACCAATTGATCTGTCAGTGACCACTGGTTCTGGAGTGGGTACTGCCATCCCTCTGCCTGTCCTCCACACAACCTACAGACACTGTGGATGTGACAACATGGACACACAAATGTACATACAGATGAAGGGTCAGAACTTGCTCAGGGTGAAGGAACCAAAACAAAAACAGAAAATGCACTTTAAAATGGAAGTCAGAAGTGGGCATCCTCTCTGCCTAACTTGGATCTGCATTTTAAGCACTGAGTGAAGTTCTCCCTCAAAAGTACGGGTCTATGCCACTTATCTAGGTGGGTAGGGGAGGAGATTTTTTTTAAGGTCTCTAGAGGGATATCCTCCCCATGCAGGTGATGTACCTGAGCTTAGGCAAGTTTCATAATAAGCAGTAATATCTTTGGGTCAATTTACTAAGACTTTTAAGTGCACAATC